CAAAATCTGACCGATCTGCCAGAGAGGTAAGAAATCAACAGTCTGCCTATAAATTAGTCAGATCTGGCAAACAGATACACAAGCAACACTCAAGTTCTGGAACAGGACTGCAGTCCAGAAGTGGACGAACAACCAGAACTTACCGCTGACGAAAGCGAAAAAGAAGAAGAAGTATTTACCTTCATTGAATATCATAAGGAAACAAACCAAAGAAAAGAAAAAAAAAAAAACTAAAACTAGTAATTATATTAGGACCGTTTCCAATCGTCTCATCCCCGGGGCATGGAGCATCAGCCTGTCAGGCAGCGGAGGTTGCACAGGCAGAGAAACGGAGGCAGAATCAAATCGCTAATCCCAGACTTACCGCGGCCTCCATCTGTTGTCCACACTGCTCTAGAACTTTCCTAGATCATAGCCACTTTCGTACTCATAATCACTGATCATTACTACTTTAGATAAAAAAGTGGTCCTTATCACTCGTGTTGGACGAACAACACAGTAAGAGTAATTATATTTGGAATGTTTACAAAAGTTTGCGGCTATAACGTCATCATTACACGACAACACGGACGGACAATGAAACAACTGTATAATAAAGACTATTTATAACTTACCTTGTTTTGTTGACAGGCATTCTGTTTTATTTTTTATTTTTGAAGTTATTCTTCCTCTTGGGATATTTGCCCACAATCTTCTGCGATTGAACGAATTTCGACTATTTAAAAATAATGTTGCAGGAAAGTAGTTTAAAAACTATACCAGGTTATTGAAGTGAGTTGGGTACTTTTATTTTAGTTCACACCTTATCTCGGGGAATCCGAGAGTTTCCGGAGAGTCGAGCATAATAGAGGATTTTGGGCTAGATAAGTTGGTGCTCGTTTCACACTGTAACACCCCTATATTATTGGACTTTCCCTGAGAACTCATGGATTCCCTGAGATGGGGTGAGCCTACATGAAAGTGCCGTGAGTTGTACTGTTTCCTCAAGTTAGGTACACTATACCGGATTTCGACAAACAATATGGTCTGCTTTTCCTACCATTTGTCTATCGTTAAGGCCGCAGTTTTGTTGCTGTGTGTGTAGACATCGGAGACCCTACCACTAGCCATGCTCTACCTTGAGTATCATCCCACCCTAGTCCGGACTTCAGGTTATTTGGTAACTGTCGAATCCCTAGTTCAACAGAACTTACTGGGATTTGCATAGGTAGGATTCTCATCCTTGAGGTGGTAACTCTGTGGACTGCAATTGTGGAATTAGAAGGGATAACTCTACCACTGTAAGATGAGTGCATAGGTAGGATTCTCAGCCTTGAGGTTTTAATTCTGTGGCTTCAATCTTAGAAGGGATAACTCTACCACTGCAAGAAAAATGCGTATAAGAGGTGGCTCTCATGCAGGAGACCTGGGTTCGACCCCTAGTAAAGTGATGGAATTTTTCTGTTGGGAGCAAAAGTAAACATCCTAACCTGTACTGCCTGTGGTGTCAGCAGAGCCTTGCGGCCCTAAATCCTCAGGCTCATGGCTCCCTGTCTACACCGCCCTAAAAAGTGGTACATACAGACAGTAGTGATAGTTTTATTAAGACATAAAGTGTCTTATCTACCACAGCCGGTGTCTTATCTACCAGGGCTGGTTTTTATAGTCGCACTCTCTTCAGCTCCATACTTGACATCCTGGGTCATGACAGAAACATTAACTATGGTCTTCACTATGACGAAGATGCCACAGACTTCTACTTTGCATGTTATAGTTCTGCAAGAAAATGACATTGATTTCCCATGAAGATGAGTATATCAGTACCCTGGTCTGAGAAACATGACCATGCATCAGCTAAAATTCTTTCATACTTACAATGGTCAATATGATAGATAGACATGCTTATCGTTTTTAGCTGTGGCAAGTTTTGTTTCTGCGAATAGTTAGCCATTGCATTTTCCTCCATATGTAGGCAGAAGGGATATAGTTCCATCACCCAGTTACTGGGCTGAATGCATGGCTTAACACTGTGAGCTGCAGATTTCATTTGAAGTGCTTTTAGACTGCTCTGCATGATTTTTATTGTGAACTGTAGGTTCAGAAAATGATGAACGGCCTGTTGCCAGAGAATTGATGCCTTATGCAATTACTGCCTGTACAACTACTGATCTATTGTAACTGCTGCTTCCATCAACAATGAACTGCATTTCTAGTGTGAGACTGTTTGTGTTAGCACTTCTGATGGCTGCCTTTTGTATTTAATCCAAGTGTATGATACTGACTTGGCTGAGACTGCAGTCTGTGCCAGTTATTTCACAAGGGACAGTGGTGGACATTCGGTGTGGCTTTTGTTGGCACAGAATGGAGCAACTATGGGATGGCCCTTTGCTATGAAGTTGGAACTGCGGTTACCATGACTACAGTGGTTACTAATTTAAATCCCCATGAAGGTTAGTTGTGTATCCTTTACAGGTCATTGCAAAACCAACCCCAACAGCCCCTGGCTGTTGCATGGTTTTTTTAAGACAAATTTATGTTCAGTAGTTTGCCATTGCTTTTTTGGACAGTCGGCTTTCTTGATACCACTGTTGAAAGAACGCAAGGCGCATGGCCCGCAGCTGGGATCGAACCCGGCATTACGAAGCGTTCGCATCGACCTAGCCACAGAGCCGACATCCCCATGAAGGAGAGTTTAAAAAAAAAATCATGTGCTTTCAGGTCAATTCAGTCTAAAATTGTAGCAGATGTCTGGGAAGTAAAAACACCTATGATATTGCCCACACCACCCCACAGAATACTAAATTATAGGGCTACCAACATGTGCCCAATACACATCAAGACGTTGCAGTGGGTTTTTCACTTGGCATGTTGTACTGTGGTGTACAGCTAAGCTGTGATATCTGCACCTTTTGTCCCAAAACATCCGATTTCATCAAACTTCTAATTGGTCTTATCCACTTCTGGACTAAGGCCTTGTTCCAGAATGTGGGTTTTGCAGATCTGACTTTTTGACATACTTGTTTTGTTGCAGTGGGTAAGTTCTGTTGCCACCAAAAATGAGGCTCAAACAAGTAGCCAAAGAAGGTAGGTGTAGTCAGTGTCGCTTGACTATAGTCAGTGTCGCTTGACTATAGTCAGTGTCGCTTGACTATAGTCAGTGTCGCTTGTCTATAGTCAGTGTCGCTTGACTGTAGTCAGTGTCGCTTGACTGTAGTCAGTGTCGCTTGACTGTAGTCAGGGTCGCTTGACTATAGTCAGTGTCGCTTGACTATAGTCAGTGTCGCTTGACTATGGTCAGTGTCGCTTGACTATAGTCAGTGTCGCTTGACTATAGTCAGTGTCGCTTGACTAAGCTTCTTCTTCTTGGCATTCACTGGCTGTTCAACCACCTCTAGAGTTGTTCCAGAACCTGAGTATTGCATGCACATCCGTTTCACAGATCTGACTCATTTGTATGCTGACTGTTGGTTCCTTGCCTTTCAGGCAGAGGCATTCCAACTTCGGAATCTGCATTTCAGAGGCCCCTTAACCCGCACAGGAAGCTTGACAAGGCAATGCGAACCATGTCATCACAACCCAAATAATCAAACTGTATAAGATCAACAGCTATAATCAACGAGGTTTAACAGCGACAACACCAAAGATTGCATTAGATGTTTATTTCAGTTTCGTAGATTACAGTTCTCCTATTGTTACACTGGACTTCCTATTGTAGATATGACATAAAAGTTACACTGGACCTCCTATTGTAGATATGACATAAAGTTACACTAGACCTCCTATTATAGATATGGCATAAAAGTAACATTGGACCTCCAATTGTAGATATGACATAAAAGTTACACCAAACTTCTCCAATTGTAGTTATAAAATGAAAGTTAAAAAACAAAAAGAAATCTTTAAGTACAGGTTTACATATACAGGATACAAATAAAACACTTGTAATAATAAGGCTTCTTCAGCAAACAATAAAGGCAGAAATAACATAAAAATAGTTATAGAAAGATGTTATATGTAAACATGGGATATAAAATATATTGAAATGAAGTGTAAAGTGCCTAAGTAGGTGTTCTGTAATTCTTTTAAAACATTCTACAATCCATTTAAAAAAAAAAAAGTAATCAGACGGAAGCCAGGATATCAGTTTTTTTTTTTAATTTGAGAGGATTAATTTCATTTCCCTGGTCTTTATCCCATATTAACTGATTTCTCCTCACAGAAAGGTTAGCCACTTGTCAAGAGCATCATACTTAGTATAAACTCTCAAGGTTTCAGTGATGATCAATAGTATCTGTGTGAAAATGTAATTCTTGAAAACAATGACAAAATCTGTGAAACAAACTATGACTTTTAGAGGGCAAGGTAAATGGCTTAACACTCCAACTTCAATGGGAACATCACTGGGGTTTTTTTTCTTTGGAGTTACCATTTCTACTGCTTCATTTTATATTTAAGCTGACACCTTTCTTTCTGCTGGTATAGTTATGTTCATTTCCTCTTTTTCTCAGTTACTGTCTAGGTGTTATGTCTTTTAATCTCAGTTTATTACAAATGTAATTTTTTTGCTTTCTAAAATGAAGAAGATTCTGTGTTTCTGACGAAGCATTTTTAAAGGATATGTCTTTTATTCTACTGTCCTCCTGGGGTTCATTGGCTGTAAACTCTGGTGGAAGTTCTATTTCTTCATCCATTTTTTAAAACTCTGACCTTGTTCCAGAACTTGAGTTTTGCATGCCATCTGTTTTAAAGATCTGGCTTATTTAAATGCAAACTGTTGAATGATGTCTTCTTGCCGTTTAGGCAGATGCACTCCATTCTGACTTTGATGGAAACATCCCTAATTACATGCCTTTTGTGACATGCTTGTCCACATTTCCATAATAGGGGCAAGGAATCCACATATTCTGTTATTCGGAAGGAAATGCATCTTTGCCTTCTGTCTATTTCCACTGTGTTCCTTTTTTTAAAAAATGTTCTTCATTCTGTACCCTCTTAAAAACATAACATATCTTGGGGATTTTCTAGTGTTTTGGTACACCTTTCTTCAGTTTCTCTAGTGTTTCTTCAATCTGTTTTACTCTTTCCATGAGTCTCTGTTTTTCTTGTGCTCTGGATAGATTTTGATTTCTGTCAGTTCCTGATACCTAGGAGAAAAGAGATCTCTTTAAGTTTACAACTGACTTCATGGATATTAAGTGGAAAAAAAAGAAACATTCTTTGTTGTTAGTGTAAAAGTAATCTGAGGCTGTTTTCAATCATTAAATAATTAACTGTGAAATGTTTTTTTAACTGTTTAAACCATTAATTGTCTGAAGCATTTGTTCATAGTTTACATACAAAGTGAACATACAAAGACTGGAATTTTTTAATTTTTTATTTGGGATAAAATCTGTTGATATGAAGCTGATTCTCTAATCTTAATATCTAAAAAAAAATCTGTAACAGTAATGAGAAATACAGTTCATATAATTAAAAGAAATCAAGAAATGAGTTGGTCTGGCCATCTGATGAGTTACCAGCTGCCACACTGAATAAATATAATCGACCTTAAGTAAAGGGAAGATTGTGCCAAATACAAAACGAAGGCATCAAGAACAACTTTAATTAAAGAAATGTAAGTGATGGCAGTGACCCAAGGTTTCATGTGGCAAGGATCATGGGGACTATTGCTATGTGTGTGTGTGCTGAGTGATTCTATGAGCATGATCCGGCGGGTTGTGGCAGGCTCTCTATGCAGACAGTGGATTGAGCCATTGTGAAATTCGACTGTGCATGGATGTTATATGCGATCCGATGGGGGAAAGGGGGGGGGGGGCATATCCGGTAAAGTGTCTAGGGGGTGAATGATCATGCTTCACCCATATATATAAAAGTTCCCCAGTAGACAACGTACTACTTACACTACAACCACAATTTCAACACTGATACATTAAAAGTCATCTATACTAGCGCATCACTCTCATTATTGTGGATGAACACATTAGGACGCATGAGATGAAGTTGGGTGATCGATGACTCACTGTCACGCCTACTGCTGCCTGCATAATAATCACTTTGGCAGTCTCTCCAGACATCGACAAAACCCCCCCAAAAAGTGAGTTCAGCACACAACAGTGGATTTACCTTTATTCTTGCCCCAGGGAAAGCACATGGTTTTTGGCAAAGAAAGAACTGACAGACTGGCTGGTTCTGCCACTGCTAATGCCCACTGAGTGATAGAACAATTGAAAGAGTTTGGGAGCAACATGTCCACATCACTGCTAAGAATGCCAGATTTGGGAGTAAAGATTAGCATAGCCAGGTACGAGAAGCACACCAGATTACAAGTCATCTTGGGTCTGGTACCACTGATTGTGGGAGATTAATATATAGGTTGAAGGTGAAATCTGAGTGCTGCGAAGATAACCAAACTCATAATTTCAAGAAATGAAGACCAATATGACACTTTAGAAATTCACCCTTGAAGATACGGTACTTACAAATATATCCATCAATGCTTTGCTGCTGGGGAAAAGAGGGTGGGGGGGGGGGGGGGGGTGTAATCAGAAACAAACTTACTTGCAAGTGACCATCACTAGGTGATTTTGCACATGTAGCATCTGCTAATGGTCCACAAAGCCCACTTTCTGTTATGCCAGCTTGGCACTCTTCTTTCTGTTTTTCCAAAAGTTGGATCTAACAAAAAACCATTGGCGAAAAGATACTTACTAATTAGGAAATTAGAACAATTCAAATAAGAACAACACAACTTCAGGTAATTTCAATTCTACATTCATAGCAAAGGGGCACCTCATAGCTGTTCCGTACCTGTGCCAATGTAAACCACACAGAATGTCCATCATTGTAGGCTGTGAAAAATTGACACAGACTGCAGTCTTTAGTAAATTCAACGTGCAGTTAGAAGTGCCTACACAAACAATTAAACACTAGAAATGCAGTACATCATCGACAGAAGCAGCTGTTACAATAGATCAGTAGTTGCACATGCAGTTAATTGCATAAGGCACCACAAGTTTTCTGGCAACAGGCCCACTTGCTATTTCCCTAATCTGCAGTTCACGACACAAACCATGTTGGGCACAGTAGAAAAGCCTTGCAAATGAAATCCACAGCTCACAGTATTGCTTCATGCATTCTGCTCAGTACCTTGTCATGATTAAAAACAGTAAACCAGCCTATCTGTCATACTGACTGCTGTATCCATCAACATTGAAGGGGGCACAAAACATGTATTTTTCCACTGAAATACACAAATCACATCGTTTCTTGTTATTTAAATTCATAACAGGAAAACATTCTTTTCAATAATTCTCTTTTCAATCCATTTCTTCAAAACCTCTGTATTTTATTACTGTTGTTTCCATAAAAGAGAGGCTTTTCCTTGCACATTCAGTCTTTATATATATATATATATATATATATATATATATATATATATATATAGCACACACACATATATATATATATATATATATATATATATATATATACACACACACACATATATATATACACACATATATATATATATATATATATATATATACACACACACACATATATATATACACACATATATATATACACACATATATATATATATATATATATATATATATATATATATATATATATATATATATATATATATATATATATATATATATATATATATATATATATATATATATATATATATATATATATATATATCTATATATATATAAAAATCAATGTTTGTGTGTTTGTTTGGTCTCTATAGACTCGGAAACTACTGAACCGATTTAGCTGAAATTTTCAGGATATGTTTGTTGTGATACCGGATTTTGAACCGTCGTGGTTTGAAATTCAACCTGTCACTGTTAGAGATAGGTGACCACAATTTATGCCAAAATATACGCAACTAATATTTATAACTTTAGTGATTTCTAATTATAGCCACGTTAGTAATTGCGCATGCGCCGTATTTACCATTCGCCGGCGAGTTACGTGCAGCCAACGCCTTCTCTAATACTAATACATAGAGTAGGTCGTGGTACAGCAAACAAGACTATCTCTATATTTGCCACAATAACCATATTAAATACGATTTCTATTTTCTGTTTTTTTTTAAACAACCTTCGATTGGGGGGGAGGGGCAATCGAGGACTATCTCGACGTTGGCGCAGACAGTGACTGCGACATTAACTTCATTAACCGTGTTAGACACGTGCGATTTCTATATCATTAATATATCTGGAGTATCTGTCTACGAGAAAACAATTGCCTGCGGTTTTGAATTGTGTTTTAATCGCGACACAGTGGTAGGGACACATATGTCTAATAGTTGTGTTCTCTTTTCGTTGTTCCGATTAAGTGGCTGCTTGGTTGAATGGTTAGAACACTGGGTTCAAGTGCGGTAGACCTGGGTTCGAATCCGCAGTAGTTACATTTTTTTTACCCTGGACTAAAATAATATCCTCATCTGCTCTGTCGTGGTGACAGCACTAGCCATGTTGCCTTAATATAAAAAAAAAAAAAAAAAGTAAATGGGTAAACCATTTGATAATTAAATTTGACCATTTCGCATACTTATGATTGCATTGTTAAACTTTCGGATTGCATGGTTACGCTGAAATTTTATAGATTTTCATTTAGATTTAGTTATTTCATCTGTGTTGGAATTTTAAGCTGTGCTGTTTACAATGGCGTTCATTTCCTAATTATGGTGTTTTTTTTCCTGTGTTCATTTGCTTTTCAAGTGTTGTTTTTTTTTGTAGCCCTATTCACTACCTTTTACAATTCCTGCTCCTTATTTTAGTCCAGATGGACAGGGATGTCAATGTCAGTTACAGCAACAACAAAATATCGCCAGTTAGTGATTTTCAAATCCTTCGAAGAGGGAGAGAGCAGTAGTCGGTGGAAGAGGGGAGGGGAGGAGGGTAATGACTTAAATTTAAGAGAACTTAAAGAGCTTTACACGTGATTTTCAAGTTCTCATTACCCAATTTGTTTATATTTTACTAACGCTACATCCGCTTTTCTATTTTTTACGATTTACTTTGTTATTTACAAGTACAGTTGTAGCTTTACTTAAGTCTCCTATAAAAATACAAACAGCTTTAGCATGTGATAACCAAATAACCACTTTTGTTACCGTGCTAATAACACCATTTAAACGACCACTAATATAAAGACACAATTATATGGTGCGTGTTCTAAAGTTGGAAAACCAGACTATCTATCTATATATATATAAAAATCTATGTTTGTGTGTTTGTTTGGTCTCTATAGACTTGGAAACTACTGAACCGATTTAGCTGAAATTTTCAGGATATGTTTGTTGTGATACCGGATTTTGAACCGTCATGGTTTGAAATTCAACCTGTCACTGTTAGAGATAGGTGACCACAATTTATGCCAAAATATGCGCAACTAATATTTATAACTTTAGTGATTTCTAATTATAGCCACGTTAGTAATTGCGCATGCGCCGTATTTACCATTCGCCGGCGAGTTACGTGCAGCCAACGCCTTCTTTAATACTAATACATAGAGTAGGTCGTGGTACAGCAAACAAGACTATCTCTATATTTGCCACAATAACCATATTAAACACGATTTCTATTTTCTGTTTTTTTTTTCAAACAACCTTCGATGGGGGAAGGGCAATCAAGGACTATCTCGACGTCGGCGCAGACATTGACTGCGTCATTAACTTCATTAGACAGGTGCGATTTCCATCGTCTTTCTTTTCTAAAAACCTTTGATGAGGGAGAGGGTACTAGGTGGATTTAGTTGTGGGGATGGGGTGTAGGGGGGGGGGGATCAAAGACTATCTCAAATTACGCCACAGCAACGCGTGGCCGGGTACAGCTAGCATATATATATATATATATATATATATATATATATATATATATATATATATATATATATATATATATATATATATATATATATATATATATATATATATATATATATATATATATAAACACATATAGGCGTAATGCTGACCATATCACTGACTAAGTACCGATTGGTCTATAAAATATAGGTCCAGCCCTATATGCCTGAAGGCGTGGAAATGAGTCCTTTGCATATTTATAAAGAAAATAAACAGACAAATGTATTGATTGGCACTCACAGAATGGAGTAAAAAGGTAGGACACACTAGACAACATAAAAAATGGAAAGTTATAGTTACAGTGCCAGAAACTAAAACCTGTCACCTCCACACAACAAATGCACCTCGCTGCATTAACAAGTGTACTAATAATGTACATGACCAACCCAGCACCTCTTTAAAAAAAGGTGTCTTCATTAGCCATGTCTATCGTACAGCTGGAATTCACAACTATGGAATACGGACATTATTCATCTCAAACCATTGAAATGGCATCATGTAAGTAAAGATCCCTTTTCACGCCCTAGGTACACCAGGCATATGGAAAGGGCACCCATATTTTTACAGACCAATCGATACTAGGTGGGTTATGTGGTCAGCATTATGTCGACCGTCTTTACTTCCCCAGGACATACATCCTGGTACCAAAAGTAGGTGGGGTCGACCTGCGACACGCTATACCATGATAAAAATCCCCGCAGCCAGCAGTAGGGTTCTATCGCGGCATATTGGAATTGCGAGTCGGACTCACAACGCCTAAGCCACGGACGCCAGAAATGCCATCATAGGATACAGACATGTATAATAACCAAGCATTGGTTGAATAAAAAATACAACATCAATCTCTAGGGCTTGCTTATTTGCCATGTCTACACCATAAAATAGGATCAATGTATGCCCACTATGTATCAACTGAGAGAAAAAAAGAAGACGAAGAAAGGGTATTACCTACTTTCTTTCAATATGCAGCAAAAATAGAAACATTTAATTAATAGTTTTTTAATAACATCACCTCTTTCTGCGTTGCTTCCATTTGTGACTTGTAAAATGTGACTGATGCAGTTACGTTTTTGATTTCCGTCTCCAAGGTTTTTAACTGTGAGACAAGTTGGTACCGTTCCTTCTTCTTCAGTTGAAGAACTTTACGATTCTCGATCTCTTTTTGCGTCAGCATTTGGCTCTTCTTCACATGTTCCTGAATAGACTGCCTGGAAACCGTCAAATTGACAAATTTTTAGATGTTAAGTTGAGGGTTTAACTCTTTTGGTACCAATCAACTCACCAAACCTTTAATGATTACTCAATAAGCACCAAATATTTTACCTGCTCTCGTTAGTTCTTCTGTCATGCTAATTCATTCTAATCCAAATGCTATTTCAACTCTTCTGTCTTACAGCTGTGCTAGCTCTTGAGGACCAAAAAACTGCAGGCCCACTCAAGACCAATAGTATGCACGCTTTTCAAGAACAGGTTACTGCAGACATGGTGATATATCGGCATTTAGGAACTGTCACAACCAGAAGTGACTACATTTAGCCTTCTCGGGACGACAGGCTTAAGTATTTACGGAAAGCTCTGAAGGAAACATGGCAGCATAATGGCTAGATGCTTGCGTACCAGCCCAAAGATCTAGGGTTAAACATTTTGAAGTGGATTTTTCTCTTTAAAATTAACCTTGACTCCCAGATTGACCCAGCCTCAAATGGGTAGCAGGCAATGTCTTGGAAAGACACGATAACATCCTTATTTTTCCCCTAGCCTTTCTCCTGGTACTACAAACCTGATGCGCTAAAGGTGTAGAGTGGATCCTGCATTTACTTATCTTTATACAGACTTGTTATCATAAATGTTCTTTTTTTAATTGACCGTGTCAACTTCTGGTCAAAATTCCCGACACTCGGTTGACATCTGACTCTAAAAAATTGTTTTAAGCTAGGTTTGGTGTGGTAAATACCTCATTTCTGGACCAGGAACCCAAAGATTTCATCATCCAATTATTGAGTTGATTGCTTGGTGCTGGGTTTAATTTTAAGACGTATCGCCACTTTAGTGGCTTCTGAATCCATCATATTTGGACGGATTGCCACTTAAGTGGTGCCATGCACATGCCCTCTAATATTGTTTTGTTTACTAGGAAAATAAATTTGTATGAACTGTATGAACACATTTTGAAAAACTAGAATTAGCAAAAAAAGAAAGTACTATTGTTTTCCAAGCATGATGAGGTGATAGGTTTAATGTTTTATATCTTTTTAAATAATTCAGTATAATACAATTTGAATGTGATTTTCCAGACCAAATGATAAGAGAAAAGGTCTAGAACTGTCCACACTGCTGCTATCATTGTATGAATTTGAGCAAGATAGTGACAATAGTCCAATTTCCAATTCTTTTAAAGAAAAAATCAAAAACTCAACCACATTTAACCTGCTGCTAGCTAGTCGAAGCTACCAACAGTCTCCGGCTATATTTGCGGTCTTGTTTATCTGCGCCACTTTAGTGACTAATGTTCTGGTATTTGTGCTGTCTCTGGGTTAATGCTTCTTTCTTCCATGGCAGACCGCCACCATTTCTAGTTTTGAAATTTTGAGTATTTTACTTTGCTTAAAGTACTGAAAATAGTATAAGGGTTTGGATAGACCCGATATGTGAAAATAGTCTTGTTATTTTGATTAATAATGCAACTGTTAAACCTACAGCTGATAATATAGGTTGGAACAAAGTTGAAAAAAGTATTACATTCGAAATGGCGTGTACGTTTGTGGTGGCAATGCTAACGTTCATGATTGATGATTAGTGCCAATTATGAACTGCAATTCTGGTGCAGGACCGTTAGTGTTGACATATGTGACAACTGCTTAGTGCAAGTTTCAGGATTCTGCTGGGACTAACAAGTTTTTCACTAGCTTCAAATGGGATAGAAAAGGACATTGTGTGTGATTTTCACTGGCCCAGGAAAGTAGCAGTTATGGGGCGACCTGTCTGCAGCAATGCTAGAACTTCATCTAATAATCAGACAAAGTTTTGAAGACATCTGATTCTTCTTTTGTCGTCTCACTGATACCAGGTTGTAGCCCAGTGTCATGGTTTTGTCGTCTCACTGATACCAGGTTGTAGCCCAGTGTCATGGTTTTGTCGTCTCACTGATACCAGGTTGTAGCCCAGTGTCATAATTTTGTCATCTCACTGATACCAGGTTGTAGCCCAGTGTCATGGTTTTGTCGTCTCACTGATACCAGGTTGTAGCCCAGTGTCATGGTTTTGTCGTCTCACTGATACCAGGTTGTAGCCCAGTGTCATGGTTTTGTCGTCTCACTGATACCAGGTTGTAGCCCAGTGTCATGGTTTTGTCGTCTCACTGATACCAGGTTGTAGCCCAGTGTCATGGTTTTGTCGTCTCACTGATACCAGGTTGTAGCCCAGTGTCATGGTTTTGTCGTCTCACTGATACCAGGTTGTAGCCCAGTGTCATGGTTTTGTCGTCTCACTGATACCAGGTTGTAGCCCAGTGTCATAATTTTGTCATCTCACTGATACCAGGTTGTAGCCCCAGTGTCATGGTTTTGTCGTCTCACTGATACCAGGTTGTAGCCCAGTGTCATGGTTTTGTCGTCTCACTGATACCAGGTTGTAGCCCAGTGTCATGGTTTTGTCGTCTCACTGATACCAGGTTGTAGCCCAGTGTCATGGTTTTGTCGTCTCACTGATACCAGGTTGTAGCCCAGTGTCATGGTTTTGTCGTCTCACTGACACCAGGTTGTAGCCCAGTGTCATGGTTTTGTCGTCTCACTGATACCAGGTTGTAGCCCAGTGTCATGGTTTTCTCGTCTCACTGATACCAGGTTGTAGCCCAGTGTCATGGTTTTGTCGTCTCACTGATACCAGGTTGTAGCCCAGTGTCATAATTTTGTCGTCTCACTGATACCAGGTTGTAGCCCAGTGTCATGGTTTTGTCGTCTCACTGATACCAGGTTGTAGCCCAGTGTCATGGTTTTGTCGTCTCACTGATACCAGGTTGTAGCCCAGTGTCATGGTTTTGTCGTCTCACTGATACCAGGTTGTAGCCCAGTGTCATGATTTTTGTCGTCTCACTGATACCATGTTGTAGCCCAGTGTCATGGTTTTGTCGTCTCACTGACACCAGGTTGTAGCCCAGTGTCATGGTTTTGTCGTCTCACTGATACCAGGTTGTAGCCCAGTGTCATGGTTTTGTCGTCTCACTGATACCAGGTTGTAGCCCAGTGTCATGGTTTTGTCGTCTCACTGACACCAGGTTGTAGCCCAGTGTCATGGTTTTGTCGTCTCACTGACACCAGGTTGTAGCCCAGTGTCATGGTTTTGTCGTCTCACTGAGACCAGGTTGTAGCCCAGTGTCATGGTTTTGTCGTCTCACTGATACCAGGTTGTAGCCCAGTGTCATGGTTTTTGTCGTCTCACTGACACCAGGTTGTAGCCCAGTGTCATGGTTTTGTCGTCTCACTGAGACCAGGTTGTAGCCCAGTGTCATGGTTTTGTCGTCTCACTGATACCAGGTTGTAGCCCAGTGTCATGGTTTTGTCGTCTCACTGAGACCAGGTTGTAGCCCAGTGTCATGGTTTTGTCGTCTCACTGATACCAGGTTGTAGCCCAGTGTCATGGTTTTGTCGTCTCACTGATACCAGGTTGTAGCCCAGTGTCATGGTTTTCTGTATTTGTCTTGCACTTTTGTGAATGGCTTAGGAGATGGATTTGTTCATCTTTTTGCAGGTTTTAGCTACATCATTTATTCATTTCTTTTTTGGTCTTCCTCTTGCCTTCCTCCCAGATGTTCTGCTGTAAAATGTCTCATATGCAGTTTGGTCTGGCTGCATTCTCACTAGATTTTCAAACAACTTCAATTTTTGTTTGTCAATATAATTCAGACATGGTCTTATTCCAACTGTCTCTCTAATGCTGGTATTCATAACCCTGTCTCTTCTTGTGTTGTTAGTGACCCCGCAGAGACAGCGCATTTCACATGTAGTTATTTTCTGCTCTAGTGCACTATTCATTGTCCATGTATCATGAAACTAGCATCATAAGTGAGGACAAACCAAGAAACATTACTAACACTCACTCTAAAGAGGCCAGCTTTTGTTCTCCATCACACAACTTTTGTGGCATTCCCTTACCACTTTCAGCCTGTTTATATAGGAAATTCAAAGCGTAAAAACCAAAATTCCCATGAAGAAATTACTTTATTTTATAAAAAATTTATTGAATGGTTTATGTTTTCAAACATTTATGACACTCACTTTTTTTCAGCCTACAGAAAAACTTAAACGAAGTAAATAAACAAAATATTCACGTATCATGAAGACATACTTACACTCTTTTGAAATTATCAGAAAAGTTATGATTTATAGAAAATACTTTTTTTTTTAGCAAGTGATAATAAACACAACAGTAGATAGACTATAAATATTACTGTCCATTACAAACGTATTTGATTTATTTCTTTGTCTTCTTCTTAGTGTTCCCTGGGTATAGACACTGGCGGAAAGTTCTGGTGGTTCATCCACTTCGGGACTTCAGTCTTGTTCATCTTCTTAGCATTCACATACTGTAAATTGGGCGAAAAGTGCTGGGTGCTCACCCACTTCTGGATTTTAGTCTTCTTCCAGATTTTGAGTTCTGCAGGCACATCTCTTTAAAATCTGTATGCTGTCCATTGGTTTTTTGTGTCTCAGCATTTGGTTTAAGATGTCATCTTTATGTCGCGCGAATGGTTAGTGTTCGAATATGTCGCGAGTGATAGAAGTGTGAATAATGTTTGAACATGTGAAATAAATGGACCAGAATAAACTGACAGAATGTACAAAGAAGCTGAGTGGCGTTTGTGTTCTCAACCCTAAGTTAAAGCCGGTGCAAACCAAGGTTAATTCCAAGTCAAACCAAGGTTCATTTCACCCCCCCCCCCCCCCCTCCCAAAAAAAAATAATAGGCCAAAAAAAAAAATTGTTTGGGGTAAATAAAATTAGACTCACTATATTTATAGTGTCGGCTCTGTGGCTAAGTCGATGCGAACGCTTCGTAATGAATGCCGGGTTCGATTCCAGCTGCGGACCATGCGCCTTGCCGACCGTCCAGAAAGCAATGGCAAACTACTGAACGTAACTTTGCCTGGAAAAACTACACAACAGCCAGGGGCTGTTGGGGTTGGTTCTGCAACGTCCTGTAAAGGATACGCAACTAACCTATATCTATAGCAGCCAATATTGAAGCTATTATTAACACCATTCCCAAATTGGACATAATTTTCTGTTGTTTTAAAGCCTCACCAGCCTGTCGGAGGAGGCCCTAATGTAATTTAAAGGCTGAACATCATTTCTGGGACTTGCATCTAGGGGGATTGTCATCCGAATGGTAGAACTTTGTGTTATTGCGTGCTAATCACTTGCTGTGCAGTCCTGGCGGGGTTGAACGTCACTCACTCATTATCAATGCTGCTATAATGACATACTGGGCACTGTCAAAGACATCATGTTAACCAAAACAGGAAAAAATGGCTTTCTCTGATCGAGAGGGTTAAACAGACAAATAACAGACATATAATTCAATGTCCCTAACAAAAAAAACAAATGGTCTAAAATTCAAAATAAAATTAACTGTACTTATTCAAACGAATACCTCATTTAAAGTCCCTCCAAAACTATCAGGTTTTCTTGTATCCTGATTTCCCAATATATGGAGTGGTTCCAGTGAACTGGTTGCTTCATTTGTTAGTGTTTCCCTTTGATCGTCACAATCATCACTGTCTGATGCTGGTGATAATGGTACTAAAACTTGAGGATGGATTGGTGGCCATACTGGCTATGAAAAAAATCAAATGCAAAAACTGTACCAGACAAACAAAATGAACTTAATAAAAGATTATAAAACAATAAAATATAAACAATGCAGGCAGAAATAATATACTGCGCAATTAATTACCTGGCATATTTTGCTGTACCTCATTAGATGCACTAGAATATACGCCAGGCAGTAGATTGTGTCATATTTTGTCTGTATATGCATTATTTAAATTCACTATGGGGAAAACTGTCGACTGTGTGGCTAAGTCGATGCGAACGCTTCGTAATGACGGGGTGCCAGGTTCGATCCCAGCTGCGGGACATGCGCTTTACATTGGTTTCGACAGTGGTATTGAGAAAGCCGACCGTCCAGGAACACTTGCCTGCCTAGACACGCCTACCGGAAAGTCTTGAGTTTAAGTCTGGCAGCTTTTCTATAACTAACCTAATGCTTCCTTGTCGACCTAGCCGCTAATGGGTATCAGAAAGTGTCATCAGAAGCAAAGATGGTCGTCAACCATCAAGTATGGTGTAAAAATAAGCACCTAGATCAATATGTCCACGATGCCAATGGCATGAAAATGCTCCATAACCTAGCTTGGTAAAACTAACTTCAAGCTGTGGCATCATGTCGGGCAGTAATGAAGACGGAGCGAGGGAACAGATCGATCAAACAATCCGTCAGCAGGTCCTTTATAGAATATCGCTCTTGTCAATCACACCATGTCTGAAAGTCTGTTTCTCTAGACAGTTCTTCATTTCTATTTGCTGTCATAGTCAATGTATCTTTAATGTCTTGTATCCACGTTAGTAAAGGTCTGTCCCTGCCTCATTTTCTGGAAACGGTGTCTTCCAATATAGAGGTTAACCACGAATATATTGAATAAGTGGCCATGGACCAAAACAGGTGATGGTCATTGAGAGGAGGCGAGTTAGTTGGTGGGACAGCTAACTATAAAATACCTCAAAACTCTACGACATGGCCATCGGCGGGTAAGAGGCGCCATAACCTCTCCCCCCTGCTGCCTTGCAGGGTAAGTCTTTTTAGACAAAGGCCATTGGAGTCAAACCATATACAAACCGGCGAAAGGCAAGGGGAAACCACCGCTGTATTATCCCAAGAAAATCATGCCTCAAAATAATACATATTCAGATAATGACGTGAATGGGGATTCCGGTGGAATCACCTCGTCCGGTAGGGAGCATCATGTTCTACGGGTGATACCCGACCGTCATCCAGCTACTGTAGAAAAAGTAAATGGTAGAAACATCATGAACATTGGTACATGGAATGTCAGAACACTCGTACAAAACGGAAAACTGGATAACATCAAGATGGAAATGAAGAGAATGAACATCAACATACTAGGAATTAGTGAAATGAGATGGCCAGGAGCAGGGGAAAAGTATTCAGATCAGCACAGAATTATCTACTCAGGTGGGAAGGAATATAGTAAGGGAGTTGGTATTATTTTGGATCCAAAGAACTCAAAAACTGTTAAAGGATTTTGGACAATATCAGATAGAGTACTATTAGTAAAACTTCGCGGCAGACCGTTTGACATCAACTTAGTACTGATTTATGCCCCAACAGCATATAGTTCAGAGGAAGACATTGACGCATTTTATGATGAGTTAGACATGGCTGTTGATCAATGCAAAAATTGCGAAGTAACAATGGTACTTGGAGATTTCAACGCAAAAGTAGGAAGTGAAAAAGTGTACGGAATAACGGGTGGCTGTGGACTAGGAGAAAAGAATGTGAGAGGTGACAGATTAATAGCAAGGGCTGAGTCGCGCAGCATGATAATAGGTAACACCTGGTTTAAACACCATCCTCGAAGATTGTGGACTTGGAAAAGTCCTGGTGATAATGTCCGCAATCAGATTGATTAAATTTTGATTTCAAGAAGATTCCAGAGCAGCTTAGTTGGAGCAAAAACTAGACCAGGGGCAGACTGCTTTAGTGACCATGTTCCAGTTGTAGGAAAAATTAGAATAAAACTAAAGAACATTAGAAAAACACCACAGAACATCAAGTTAAATTTAGGAATTCTTAGAACGGATAAAGAAATTAAGGAACAGTACAACGTCACTGTACAAAACTGGTATAATGCAATGGAAATTATACAGACTATTGATGAACAATGGGATATGTTGCGTGAGTCAATTCAGCAGACATCAAAAGAGACAATCCCACCAACCCATACAGTTGCAAAAAAGAAATGGATGTCAACCGAAATTCTGCAGTTGATGAATGAAAGAAGGAAGAAAAAGAATGATAAAGAAGAATACTCTAGAATACAAAAAGAAATAGTGAACAAATGCAAAGTGGCTAAAGAAGCCTGGCTGAATCAAATGTGTACAGAGATTGGGGAAAATCACAGGAAAGACTCACATTCCTTGTACCAACAGATAAACATGTTAACAGGAAAGATGACACGTAACAGCACTGGATGTTTGAAATCAAAGGATGGTGACTTATTAATGGGACATAGTAATATAATTAACAGATGGACAGAGTATATAGGGGAATTGTATGGTGATAATAGACCAGACGTAGAACTGCAGACCAACAATGATGGTCCACCAATAATGACTGCAGAAGTTGAGGATGCAATACATCATATGAAGAAAGGAAAAGCACCCGGGCCAGACAACATCTCACTGGAAGAAATGGAGGCACTGGGAAATTTTGGAATTGAAATAATAACTAAACTTTTAAATGATATTTATAACAGTGGGTGTATTCCAAATGACCTTTTAAAATCCATATTTATAGCTCTGCCGAAGAAACCAGGCACTTTAAAATGTGAAGACCATCGCATAATAAGTCTTATGAGTCACATGACTAAGATTTTACTGAGAATAATTATGAGAAGAATAAGAAACAAAATTAAACCAGAAGTCAGCGATGAACAATGTGGATTTGTAGAAGGAAAAGGTACAAACAATGCCATATACATCCTAAGGACATTGTCAGAAAGAGCTATAGAAGTAAAGACTGATTTGTACTTATGCTTCTATGGCTATACAAAAGCATTTGACTGTGTGAAGCATGAAGAAGTAATCAAACTGTTAGAAAAATTAAACATTGATGGGAAAGATCTAAGAATAATAAAGAATATGTATTGGCAGCAAACAGCAGCTATAAGAATTAACAAAGAGGGGCGTACGACAAGGATGTGTACTGTCACCTGATTTGTTTTCAATATACAGTGAATATATTATGAGATCTTTAATTGATAAGCCCCGAATCGTGGTTGGTGGGCACAATATAAACAATTTACGTTATGCTGATGACACAGTCTTGACAGCAACAAGTCAGAAAGAATTACAGGAAATTATAGACATTGTGGTGTTAGAAAGTGGAAGAATGGGCCTCAGTTTGAATAATGGGAAGACAGAAGTAATGGTGGTATCAAAGAAACAAATTATTCCTAAATGTGTAATAAAAGTCAATGGTGTTATTTTAAGACAAGTACAGAAATTTAAGTTTCTGGGCACATGGATAACATCAGATGAAAGATGCATAACTGAAATAAGAAACAGAATTGGACAGGCAAAAACTGCATTTTATGAAATGAAAAACATCTTGTGCAATATATCCTTGTCATTGAGAGTTAGAAAAAGAATTCTTGCTTGCTACATACATCCAGTTTTAACATATGGATGTGAATCCTGGACAATCGGTAGGCAGGCCAAACAATTTTTAGAGGCCTCAGAGATGTGGTTTTACAGAAGAATGCTTAGAATACCTTGGACAGCCAAAAAGAGCAACCAAGAGGTTTTAAAAGAGGCGGGAGCCCGAAGACAACTTATCACTGACATCAGAAGGAGACAGTCATCATTTTTCGGCCATGTTATGAGAAGAGGGAAAATAGAACATGTTGTGACCACTGGAAAGATCTGTGGAAGGAGGGATAGAGGAAGACAACGAGAGAAGATGCTTGACAGTCTTGTTGCATGGCATGGAGGTGTGTCGGCACACGAACTGATACATGCTGCAGGAGATCGCGGATTATGGAGAGGTATGATCGCCCACGCCAGTCGGCAAGGCACCTGATGATGATGATGATGATGATGGTGTCTTCCAACATTGTTCTCTCCAGGCCACTATGACATTTATCATGGACAAAATAGCTCACATTTCATGACAGGATGCTGTTTATGAGCCAATTCTGCTTTGCTTTTCTTGGTCCACAGTATTCTAAGAATTATCTGTAGCATTTGTTCAAAAGCTCCCATTTTTTCCCCCAGTGATTTAGTAAGAGTCAATGACTTTGACCCACAAGTTGGCATGGGAAAGATGCAGGAAATATACAGACATGTATAAACAGTTAATAAACAGGAGTTTTTACAGCAGCAGGAAATCCGTGAAAGTCAAAAAAAAAAAAAAAACGATTCCTTGCTTTAAATGCAGAATACTTAATTTGAACATGAGCAATCTCGTGCATGAAATGGAAACATGGTGAACAATAAAAACGATTAGTGATAAACTACAAACATTCATTAAATAGTGCCTGTGCAGAATATAGAAAATGTAGTGGTATTACAAGAGCTGTTGTGGTGTAGTAGCTAGACATTCACCCGTAGATCAGAAGCTTGTGGGTTCAAATCCAAACAAAGCTGGTCCCCCCTTTTCCCCCTCTAAATGACCTTGGCTCCCAGGCTGCTCCAGCTTTTCCAGCTTAATATGGGCACAAGGTGAAGTCCTGGGAAGAACTAAAGATGGCTGGCTTGATATTGTCTTCATTACCCACCAACTGCTGATTGGTCTATAAAATGTCCGTCAAGTTTCACATTTCCAATATGCATGCCAGCATGGAAAAGAGTCCTTTCCTTTTTTTTTCAAAAATGGTATGACAGAAGCATTTATGGGGAGTCGTAACAGAAAACTAAAATAATTCCAGTGAACCAAGAGGTGAGGAAAAGATGCTGAGGCTGGAGCAAACACACAACTGAGAAAACCTGATATTATAATTAGAATATCCTTGCATTGGAACCCACAAAGCAATT